GTTCATGGTGAGCACTCTGCAGGTGGCCAAGAGCTTCCGACCCAAGCAACTCTGGGGGTTCTACCTCTTTCCTGACTGCTATAACCATGACTACAGCAAGAACAAGGAAAGCTACACTGGGCAGTGCCCAGATGTGGAGAAGACGCGCAATGACCAGCTGGCGTGGCTCTGGAGGGAAAGCATGGCCCTCTACCCCTCCATCTACCTCGACCTACTCCTGGCCTCCACCCCCAACAGCCGCAAATTCGTGCGGGCACGGGTGATGGAAGCCATGCGCATCTCACAGCAGCACCACGATGGCTATTCCCTTCCCGTCTTTGTCTACACTCGGCCCACCTATATCCGCAGGCTAAACGTGCTCAGCCAGGTAGGACTGTGCCTCTGGGATGTCCTTGTCCCAAGCCTTGGGTGTCTGTGCTCTGGCATGGTCCATCTGCCTGTGTTCTGTCTTGCTCCCCTGGAGCAGGGTGGCTCTGAAGGCTGGTGTCCACCCTCATGGTGCTGCTGGCACCTGCTGGTTTGGCTGTCTCCATGTGGGTGGGGTGCAGGACCCTTTGGTATGGGGCTAGCCTCGGGGAGCAGGAGGAATGCCCAGCTCTGCCTCCCTCCCTCCCAGGGGTGATGTCATAGTGTGCGGACTTCCCCAGCGCAGCCGTTCTGTGGGTGAATGATGGGGTGGCCCATACTGCCTCTGTTATGGGCAAGGTATCTGGCAGCAAGACTGACACCAATGGTCACCATCACCAGGGACATGCCTGGAAGGTGCTGCAGCACTCGTGGATCCTGGCAGCAGAGACTCTGGGATCCCTGAGCTGTGCTGTGCTGGTGTAGCCCCTGGGGGAGGACGGCAGCAGTGGGGAGCCTTGTTCCAAAGAAGCTGGGACAGTTTCCTCCTCCCTGTGTCCTGGAGCCCCCTCAATGGGCTCTTTGGGGTGCACCATGCTGTGGTGTGAGTGCTCTGTGGCATCTGTGAACGCTAACTGGGCTCTGTTCCCACAGCCGGACCTGATCTCCACCATCGGAGAGAGCGCGGCGCTGGGTGCAGCTGGAGCCATTTTCTGGGGCGATGCAGACTTCACCAAAAACCGGGTAGGTTTGGAGTTGGCATGCTTCTGGGAAGGTAGGTGATTGAGGATGGTGGTGGTGTCACCTGCCCCCAGAGTGAGACCAGTGGGTTGAGGCTGGGGTGTCCGCTCCATCCAGGATGCTTCTCTTCCTGTGACACCCTAACATGCCCCCCTTCCCCCAGGAGTCTTGCCAGATCATGAAGAATTACCTGGAGGGTGACCTGGGCCGCTACATTGTGAATGTCACAACAGCAGCGCAGCTCTGCAGCATGAAACTGTGTGAGGGCCGAGGCCGATGCCTGCGCCAGGACAGCACCGCTGATGTCTTTCTCCACCTCAACTCCACCAGCTTCCAACTGCGGCGCCGGGATGGAGACCACCCGCAGCACCCCCTCTTCTGGGCCGAGGGCCATCTGTCTGCTGCTGACATCCT